CTGACCTTTATTGCCCCTTTGCATGTGGAGGCATCAGTGCAGGGAGCAGAGGGATGTGTCCTTCAGGCAGGTTCCTGGGAGGCGAGGGGATGGGGGTGGTGTGCCCTCCTACCACTCACATCCCACGTGCTTGGCACTCCCAGGGTTGCGCCCCATCAGGCTCAGGCCTGACAAAGGGCTGCGAGTACCAGCAAGCATTCGGCTGTCGTGATGGAGATGGAAATCAGTGATTCAGGGTTCAGTGACCTGCCTCATGAGGGTCAGTCCTGCCTGCTCTGTTTGTCATGCATGCCTGATCGGGCAGGCTGTCACTCAGCCAGGGCAAACAAGTGTGTGCAGAGGGAGTGTTGTGTCACAGTTACAGGAGAGAGCAGGGAGCCAGACCGAGCCAACTTGCTGCTTAAAAACTTCCTCTCTGTGTGCTGGTGACCTTGGCTCGGAGAACTGTCTTCCTGTGCCTCAGTTTGCCTGTGGGTGGAAGGCAGGAAAGGGATAAGAGGCTTAGCAGCAGCTGTGGGATAGGATGTCTAAGTGGAAGCACACTGCCCGACTGCTTCTGTCCGCTGATCTCCAGGTATGTTGGTCTTGCCATGTCCCAGCCTGGAAGGAGAGGCAAGAGGAGATAAGTAGGCACTCCACAGGAATCCCCCTGTGGATCTTCCCGATGTCCTCCAGTGATTTCTCATAGGATGACACAAAGAGGCAGGATATCAGGCACAGCCCAATATTTCATAATAAACCCATGTTTCAGACCATATTTCTTTTCCATCTCTTTGTTCATTCACAAGATTTCCTTTATTGTTGTCTGCTTATGCACAAGCCCAGACCACAAGCCCACCTAAAAACACCCACTAATAAAACTCAAGGAAAACTAAAATCCTTGCTGCCTGCAAACGATCTCACCAAAGCCACTAGTGGAAAAAAGACTGTCTTTCAAGTCTTTTTCTTTACTTTCTGCACCCTGTCCACCATTCATCTTTTCTCCCCAGAGAGATCAGCCCCACTCCCTTCCACAGGCCATGACTCCTTAGGACCAGAGCAGGCTCTTCTTGATGCTAGGGGCTCAGCTGAAAGAATGGAGCCTGCCAGGGAAACTGCAGGCTGCGTGTCTTGGTACTGCCAGCCTGGCTGCTCGTGTTTCTATTCCCTGCATTGGTAACCACCAACTTCTTGTTTTGTTTTCCCTTTATCCTTTCTTGAAAATGTCCATTTCCACCTCTCCAAGGAGTTCTCCTCCGCTTCCAGCACCACCACTGCCAGCACCATCACTTCCCGGGTGACCAGGAATGGGAACGCCATAATGGAGAAGCACTTACTCAATCACGAGGACGTGGCAGGAGACCGGGGCATGATAGACGATATGTTTGATGACACCTACCGGGACAAGGAGGGCCCCAAGCCCCCTGTGCGATACGTCTGGAGGAATATCATCCTCATGAGCCTGCTGCACCTAGGGGCCATATTTGGGCTGATGCTGATACCTTCTGCAAAGATACAGACATTGGCATGGGGTAAGCACATTCCTCCACTTGTTTCTTGGCACCTTTGTTGAGTAGTATTTTTTTTTTCCTCCAGGCCCACAGACTCAGGGAGGAGAAAGAAGGAAGTGGAGGTCTTCTGTTAGAAGAAGCTACTCAGCCAGCTTCATAGCAAGCTGTGTCTCTTGTAAGGTCTTGTATGAGAGGGAAGGATTTGGCAGGGGACTGCTTGGCTGCTTAAAAAGTAAACTTGATTCACAGGCATCAGGCTTGGAAGGAGCCCACAGCTGAATGTGCAGCCACTTGTGGGGTGAAGCACAGAAAATGTCTGACTGAGTACTGTGACAGTCCCAGAAAATTAGGAAAAAAGGTGCTAGCAAGAGCACTTTGAGGGGTGTCTGGGGAGGCAAGGTACAGGGCATTATTTGGCATGAGGCTACTGCCCAAAGACAGAAACCATTCATGTCCCTTACTGAGCTGGGGTAAAACCTGCAGAGCCTCCACGTGTGTCTGAGGGGAAAGAGACAAAACACAGTTGTGTTGAAGATGAAAGTCAAGAGTTAAGTCTGAAGCTCAGGTCTTTTATCATTCTTCCAAAAGCACAGATTAGCCCCCATCATCCCAGAACTAAGCCTGACAACTTACAAAAAATAAATAAGCATCTCTCCAGGCAGCAAATTCCAGTGCAAAGCACAACCCAGCCAAAGCTCCCCTTTTTCACAGACCTTGCCCTGGGTAGGGAACAAACTTCTCGTTTGACTGCTTGAAAGGCAGCTGGGCCATGGCCCAAGCTGCAGGGGAGCCTGGCCTTCCAGGAGCCTTTGTGTGGAGCCCTGGAGGAGTCCAGAAGCTAAGTGGCTCCCAGCGGGGAGGTTGAGAGATTGCATCCAGTCCCTGCCTCCCTGTGAAACAGAGCATCCTGAAATGGAAAAATGACAGTCAGAGACCTTTTAGCATGGCTTTTTGTTTCAGCAGTGCTCCTGCAAAGTGCTCAGCCAGGAGCAGCATCCTGGCCAGCTCAGCTGTGGACAAGCCTTGGAATGATCCACCTGGTCTGTCATGCTCTCAAAGTCTCTCCTCCCAATGGCTGTGAGCAACAAGCATCAAAGCTTGCTGGACAGCCAGACTGACTTTTTTCCTCCTGGACCATCTCAGCCTCTCGCAGGAAGAGGCCTGGGGGACAGGCATCACTGGAGGCCACAGGACTCAGTCAAAGGCTGGCTACAGCATCTGCAAAAGCAGAGGCACCAATGTGTTCCCTATGCAGCCAGCATGGCCTTTCGGGGAGGGCATTATGAGAGAAGACTTTGCTGAGCCTTTCCTCTGTGAAAACCCGAGAGGCTGCAGTTTTCCTGGGGTGGCAGGGCTGGGCCAAACATGCAGCCTCAGCATGGCCTTGGAGGAGTGCTTCAGGGATCTCGGTCCTGCTCTGTGTCCCATCCCCAGGCTCTCAGCTGGGGGCTAGGCAGGTGCTGCAGGATTCTCTCACTTGCTGAGCTGACAGCTTGGGTACTCCAACCCCAGCCAAATATCCTCAGGGCATTGCAACAAAGAGGTGGGAAAAGGTAAGTCAGGCTTACTGGTTTCATTTCAAGCTGCTGAAATGCTCTGTGATTTCCAAATCCATCCAACCCTTCTCTCTTGAGCTCTCCTAAGATACTTAAGTGAGTTCGAGCATCTTGATCCAGAAGGTTAATGCTGCTTTGCATTCTGCTAAGCCCCGCCTTACCCCAAAATGGTCTCTGAGGCAGTGTCTTTACAACCGTGTACCTGTTCAGGATGTCTGTGTGGCATCCCAAGGCATTTTGTGGGAATCTGCCTTGTTTTTTACCTGATGCCAGTCCCTCCTGCTCCCTTCTGTCAACTCTAATGTGAAGTGTCAGTTTCTCTCCTACCACTGTGAGGCACTGCGAGATGCGTCGGTGGCTTCTGGAGTGACAAATGGGAGAAGGACATGGGGTTTGGGGAAACTGCACTGTTTTGGACTGGCTGAATATCCATCCTGCCTTGCCAGAGCTGGAGTAGCTCCACAGAGCTCCCTGTCCTGCATCCTCGCACTTGTTTTGGGAAAGTACCACCTTTCCCTGCACCCAGCAGCCCAGTCAGAGATTTCCCCTATAGTCTATTCTCCTCCGGTGCTGACCAAAGCTGGGATACTCTGATCCTCCACAGGTCTGGCTTCTCAGCAAGACTCCTTGCTCCTTCTTGTGTTGCCTTTTTCTCAGTTCATACCTTTCTTTAGCACATACAGGGCATCTGTGGCTGCCATCTCAGTGACTTGCTGTTATTTTCCCAGCACCTCCTGGTAGCAAGGAGAGGACTGTGGTTCCCATTTCACACACAAGGACAGAGCAGCGTCAAAGACTTACATTGCTCCCAGCAATACACCATGGACTTATGGCAGAGTAGCTCTCCCAGTGGTAGTTCTGGAGCTGCTGGGGTTTTCGCTTGTTTCTTTGTTTTGCAGATCATTCCTTCTGAATGTAGGCCATGTACATATAAGATAAAATTAACATGGCCCCAGATGTTCTCTGCTGTGATGCTACAGGTAGCTGTGGTGCCTGGTGGCTGACCTGCCTTCTATATTTTACTATCAGGAGCAATCCCCTGCAATCCCTCTTCATCTAGGCCACTATCTCCTTGATGTTCCTGTCCTTCTGAAACCAGTTATATTGGTGACTGTGTCCTCTGTTTTCATTTTTCTGTGTGCTAATTCCTCTTTGTCTCTCAAGCTCTCCAGCCCTGCCTTCATCATTGTTTGCTGTTCTGCGTTGCTGTGTGCATTATATCCCCTGATCTCTTTCTGGTACGGAGCTTCCCAGAACGAGCCGGGCTTGTTGATCAGGTGAGAACTCACCATAACAAGAGCTTTCCAAGCCCTTCCAGCACTACGGCTTTCTAGCCAGCTCCCCTTTTATTTACTGTCTTCTCCACTGCACTTGACAAAGTCTTGCGCAGTCTTTTCAGGGAGATTTCACGTCATTTGCCAAAAGGGCACAGAGACTGAGTCTGGAAGGGCAGAATGCAAAGGTGATTGACGGTTTCATCTTTAGCTTCTCTGAGCCTCCCTGGAAACAAGATTTGCAGGTTGTCTTCCTGGCCCTTGGGTGCAGCAGACCAATGATATTTGTGTTAACCCCTGTTGGCCTGGCCAACGATGTCTATAAAACAGTGACAATTCTTCTTGATGTGGTGCTCTGACAATACCCCAGCTCCCTGCAACGCCAGCAGTGACAGCAACATGGGCTGATGCCATTTTTTGTTGCTGCTGCTGCCTTGGACTAAGGAGAATGTTGCTGCATAATTTAGGCAACTCTGACAACCTGAAAATCTCAGCCAGTACTACCCCCAGGGATGTGTCCAGCAAAAATGTTTACAGAAGTTTTTTGTTATTTTCCCATCAAGACTACTGCTGGCAACATCTCCCCACCTAGTGTCCTCTCCAGGCTTAACTAGCAGGTGGGTGCTACTTCTCCAAGCGTAGAGGGGAACTTCTGATTTTGCTAGATAGGGAAGTTAGGCTTTAGCAACGGTAGCTCCTATTGCTCCTCCTATTGTTGCCCTTATGCAGCCTGCGCGTTTCCTTGCTCTTGGTATCCTTCTCCTGAGAGCAGCATGATCCACCCAGTGAGCAGGGGCTGGGAGGCAAAGAGGGAACAGTCTAAAACTGTAGTTTTCCCTTCCACTGAGTAGAAGTTCAAGGACACCTCCTGGAGCAGGGACGCCTCTTCATGTAAACATCCTTGGTGTTGACTGCAGGTGACAATGCCTTTAGCACATTCCCTGCTTCCCATAATAAATTGAGGTCTGAATCTGGGCCCTGAAGAGGTAAAGGCTAGCAAGTCATATAAACATGACTGAATATGGAATGTTTGGGGTTTAATTTATGGAGCATTGAGTATATATTACTGCCTGTGGTCATAAGTATGTTTATTCTAGTTGAATGGGTCACTGGCAACATGACCTTTGAGTTGGCAATCTTTTGGATCTTGGACACTTTAAAGCATGGTGTGGAAGATTACTTTGAAACCTCAGCTGATGGGACTGCCCTAAGTCCTTCAGTTTGGGACAGCATCAGAGAGCATCTGTGAAAATTTGTGCTACTTTATTTCACCTTCTCTACTGTCTTTCCAAATTCATTCCTAGTGAATGATCTTGGAGGTGCTTTTCTTCTTCCTTCCTTGTGAGATCCTGGCTATGCAGTGATCATCATTGTATCTGTTTGAGGGGATGAACTCTCTGAATCATTAGGGTGCTGGATTCTTCTGTTTTCCACCAGGCTTTTCAATCTTATTGTCCATATCCTGTCACTGTCACAACAAGTCTTAGGTATGTCTGATGGAGCTAATAGCTAATAGTGGGGCGGGGTACCATGTATGCAAAGACTGAGAATCAGCTCCTTTCCCATGGAGAGTATCTGCTCCTTAGATAAACTACAGCTGCTGTGTTTGGGCAAGAGGCAAGGCAGCATGGGATTATAATTAGAGAGCTGTGGCCGTTGTAGTGACCTGGGATGCAGCTCCAAGAGAAGTTAACACAAGCCGCTGAGGTTAATGGGCTTTGGATGAAGGCCAAGACTGTTCTACACCCCACCCGAAAGCAGTGGGTACTCTTTGAAATTTTAACAAAAGCTTTCAGTCAAGGCTACCCAAAACTCTGTTAACTCGTGCCTACTTGCCCAAGAGCTGGGCTCTTTCCCCAGCAATCTGTCCACTACATCCATTGCAAGCTGACGTGGTTTTGCACAGACTCCCTGTCTGGTGTTTCTCATAGAGTCTGTATAGGTTGAATGTTAAATCCAGAGTCCTGGGTGCTGCTCTCAGATGTGCTGTAAACTGCGTGTCACCCTTGGAAATCTACCTCAGCTACTGTGGTGTGCACTGCAGGTATAAAGTTGCCCAGAGGTTTTATGAAATGTGGTTTGCAGGCTATAGCTGCTTACGTTCAAGGGAGAATGGTGGTGAGTCACCCTTCTGTTGCTGGTAGGAAGTGTCTGAAATTCTGAAACGTCCAGGAGCGGATTTCATTGTTATTGCGGTGTCTGAGGCCGGAGAGGTTCTGCAAATCAGAGTCATATGTTAGGTGCTTTTTCAAGGTTTGCTCTTCTGTATGAATCTGTGGGGATAGTGACTGATCTAAAATTAGTCTTAACATCTAAAACCAACAGGGAACTGGTCATGAGCTGGTTCATAACTTTCAAGTCAGCATCATGGGGCTGGGCAAGACATTCAAGGTGTCCAGCATAAATACTTCCCTGTCAGTCAGGCCAAAGGGAGACCTGAACCAAATGCCCTGCTCCAGCATCACTTCTTTCTCCCCTTCCAGGCTTGGCCAGCTTTGTGAGCTTTGCTCAGCTCCATTATCTCCGGCAAAGGCTGCCGGATCCTGCTGCATTTGCATACATTTTCATCCATCTTCATGGCCTATAAATCAACCTCTGAAGAGACTGCAGAGGTGCTGGGAGACACGAGGCAGAGGTGTGCTGGTCTGAGGCTTGCACTGAATTTGGTAGCAGGCAGGGAAGCTAAAGGAGAAGATGAAGATGGGAAGTCATGGTCAGATCAGCAGACAGGGTGGGTCACTGTTCTACAGCGGGATGGGAGTGAGGAGGGTTCATGTAAGTTTAAGGGGCCAGAAGAGGATGTTAAATCAGCAGAGACTGGCTTTTAGCGGATAAGAGATTAGGTCTGGAATGTAGAAAAACAAAAAGGAGGTGACAGAGAGAAGGAAGAGGGAGCAAGAGACGATAGGAAATAAAGCCTGGATTATTTTGAATGAAGGAACAGGGCAACAGTGCCCCGCGCATGTCTCGGATCTCTGATTCCAGATAAGTTTTTGGCAAAGTGTCTATTTTCTATGTTCAAGATCAGCTTGTTTAGAGCAATTTGGCTGGACTGAATGGTATTGTCAAGCATACCACACAATTTTTATCCACAGGCCTATGCGTAAAAATAAGGAGCTATTTTCATGATTGATACAATTGGCTCAAATCAGCAAATTTATACCAACGAAAGAGTTACTCCCTGGGGAACTGGTAAGAAGGTGTCCCTTCCCCCAGGGGACTGAAGGTGAATCAGTTGACCTATGCGCAGATATGTGCCCTTCCCTCTCAATGTCTGAGCTTGCAGGACAAAGCAAATGTTGAGTGCCATCCATCTTTCTGCCAAACTTCCTGACCCTGCCTTCCTAGAGAAAGAGTGACTTTTCAGATCCCATTTTCTTTTTATCCCCAGCATCTTGGTGTAATGTTGCTATGACCCTGTTGGGGTCTTTTCTCCATTTTAACTCTAGGACCAGATGCTGGAACCCTGCTTAAAATTCAGAGGCCCCAGGAATAGAGCAGGGGAGACATAAACACATGTACAGAGGGAGAAGGATATGGCTTTTTTCACTAGCTGCCTGAGGGGCAAGGCATTCCTTCTGACCCGTGTGGAGAGGGAATCCATGAAGCAGCCCCAAAGCTCATCTGGTCCAGCAATGTCTGCCTCTGTCCTGGGCACAACTTGCAATGAGTTGTTGGCCTTGGAGTTTCTTTCCAGAAATGGTGCAGGACCCAGAGAGAGAAAGACCCTGTGAACAGGAGCCTCTGGGCAGTTTTAAGTCAGTGTTGGGGCTGAAGGTGAAGGTCAGGCTTCAGTGGGATGGTAGGTTAGATCTTTTTGTAGAGGGCTTCTGCTCTGAAAGGGAGTGTAAGAGAAGCCTAACCCTGGGCTTGAGCTGTCTGACTGAAGACCTGTAAGATCACCTACCATCTCTAGGGGAAAAGAATGCAAAAGAAATTCAGAGTGTGGAGATAGGAAAGCAAGACCCTTGATCATTGGGGGTGGAAGGAACAGGGGAAGCCATTTCCTGATGGACTGCAGAGCTGTTACCACAGGGCTGTATGGAAGTAGTTGCTTTATACAATTTTGACCGTCCTGCACCATGACAGATAGCACTATGCTGAAGAACCAGCTCTTCTGATAAGTCTTGTAAGGGAGAGTCTCCTGTGTCGGAGATGAGGAGCTGAAGTGATTTGCCGCACATTGCTTGGGAAGCCTGTGGTAGCTTGGGCACTCTCAAGTTGATTTTCTTGCCCCAGTCTGTGCTCTCCGTGGGTTCTTCTCTTGCTTATACAGCTTTGGGGAAAGGCTAGCCTTTGTGTTGCTCTGCCTGAAACTTTGCTGCAGGCTAACTTGCTCTAACTGCTCCAACCCTTTCTTTTCCTCTCCAGCCATTTTGTGTTTCCAAAAAAACCGGAATGCCCCCGCCTCTGGAGCCATCGGTCCTACAAAGCCACACTGCCCCTGCGGATCTTCTTGGCTATTGCAAACTCCATAGCCTTCCAGGTAAGCACCTCCTCGGTGTGCCACTGGTCCTGAGAAGGAAGTGCTCCACTGAATCCCTGTCTCAGATATGGGCATAAGCTGATGGAGAGGTTCCTCCCTCCTACTACCTTTTGTTAGGAAACAACCTGCCCTTTCCATCCAATACTGTGGTGCTGGAGTCTATCTCACTGTCTTCACCTTGTCCCGTCAGAGGGCGACTCTGAGAGGACCCGGGTCGGGAGAGAAGAAAGGGTTGGCCAAGACCAGGGGTAGGAAAAAAACAGGAATGTACCCTTCCCTTGAGGTGTGGTCTCCTGGTGTTCAGGTTGCCTCACCCTCCTCTTGCTGCATGGCTGATAAGGGGGGCACATCTGCACAGTCCAGGGAGCCAAGCTGTGGAATTTGCTGCTGCAGGAAGACCAAGAACTTGTTGAAATTATGCAGTTAGGGGGATGCTTGTCTGGTACAGAAGAGTGACAGTTAGGAAGAACCCTGTTATAAGTCACACCACTGGTTTCCAGAGAGTCATCCCAGGTCAGTGATGTTTCAAGGAGAGAAGGGCTGGGCCCTTGAGAGCGGCACAAGTGACTGCAGGCATCTGATAATCACCTCAGGATATTGCCCAACGTGTCATAAAAGCACTTCACAGTCCACAAAGCAAACAAACTGTGAAGTCCTTAGAGCCTGTAGAAAGTAACAGAGATGGCTCTTTAGAAGAAGTTACAGTGAAAACCTTAATTGGTATGGCACAGAAAAATCCTGGTGGTGTCTTGAGTTTGCTGCTGTGAGGCAGCCCTAATGGCACTCTGTCCTCCAACAGTACTTGAAGGGACTTCATGCAGCCTTGCTCATGTGTAGCAAGTGCTTGGGAGTGTGACAGGATACAGCACTTCCTGCTAGAACGTGGTGAACAGAAAAGTGTGAGTGCTGTGCCCCTAAGTAATTCTCCAGCTGAGATATGGGGCGAGGGTAAAGCCCAAGTGGACTAGGTATTTTAGAGACATTATCTCTTTCCC